ATCTTGGGTTTCTCCCATGATCATGCATGAGCATGACATGTTGGAACAGTTTCACTTTATTGACCCTATTCTCTGCTATAGATCTTTTCTTATATCAACCACTAAGTTCTACGTGGGAAGAGATTTGGGAAAAAGGGGAAAACTATCCCATTTTGTATATCCCAATTCAGACAGAATGGAAAAAGAAGAAATCTAATGTATTCTAATAAGTTCCATCAAGCACATCAAACTTGCTGGCAAGAAACGTATTGAATATTACAGGCAAACCAGGAATATTGGACATGGTATTTGATGCAGCACGCCTGTACTTGTGCCTTGCTGTATAAAACTTATAGTCTTGAGCAGAGATAGCAACTTCACTCCGGCCAGTCAATCTCTTGAACCTTAACAAAGTAGAAACCAAGTCAGACAAAAGTAGCAGTTATGCAAAATGCAATCATGATTATTAAAGTTTTTCATTAATAGATGGAAGTATATAAATCCTAATACATGTAGAGCCTGTCCCTATATATCAAAACAGAAAAGACTAATTTGTTTCCCAAGAATAAAAGATAAAGGAAAAGAAAGTTGTCAACAATGGTTTAATCTCCATATCATAAAGTATCTCCCCTAACGAGTTAAACAAGAACATTTCATTTTACAGTAAAGAGAGATAAAAGCTTATGTTAGAACACCAATAAAGGATGCAACTATGTCAACCAACAATACATCCACTCAGGGGCAGGCTTGGAGTTGGAGACCATTAGACATGGTACAAAACACCAAAAAATCAAAGCCAGAAAACAACAGAAAGGACATGAAACTAGGAACTGCAATACCAAAATAAATGGAAATCCCAAGATTCAAACAGAAACTGGCTGTGACATGCAGTCAAAGAGCTAAGAGTATCAGACATCATTACTTTCCAAACTGTTTCACACTAAAACAAAATAAGATTTATCATTTTGTTAAAGGGTAAACTAAACTATAATATAACTACCCAATTGCAAAACAGTAGGTAAAATAATTTAGAAGTGACATCATTATAAATTAAAAATTTTTAAATCTTCATGAAGCCCACACTCCAAGGGTTAAAGAAAGCTTCATATTCAGTTCAGGAGGATTAGATGGATCTTTAATAGTAATTAAAATGCATTAGTCAACCATCTAAAGAAAGTAACCATCTCACATTTGAATAAAACTATGTTAGAATAAGATTCAATCTCACTTGGAACTATGATTATAGAAATGAAATTCCTCACATGTTGTTAACAAAAAGCAATCCTAACCGTCATTTTTCACTTTCAATACAAGTTTATTACATGCATCACCATATCCAGTTGCAGATACAAATTTAGTTAAAGTGAAAAATTATACATGTACCTTGAAGACTAAAGCTTTTCTATTTCCATTTATCATCATCCATAAGTGAGTGTAAGTGTGTAACATCAGTGAAATTTAGAGCTCATGAAGCACTACAAAAAAAAAAAGGGCTCTCAAAGCAACAACTCACCACTCAGCATCGTCTATGGGCATATTATTAGGTTTCTCAACAATATCCAATCCATTGACCACCACAAAACGAACTCTCTTTTCTTCTTGTATAACTAATTCTGGAAACCTTGACCTTGTTTCAAGAGAAGTGGCCAGCTCTCTTCTTTTATATATGCATGAGCCTGTAGGCAATGAGATATTAAAATATACATTTATATATATATGTAAAGAGGTGCCAAATATCATATTCCATACAACAACAGCATTTAACTTAATTGACATTTTTTGAAATTTCTTTGGAAAAATAAGAGCCAAAACCATTCAGAAAATGAAATCCAATTTACTTGAATGATATTTCATATAAACTGGACTCTACCTAGACTCCATACAGAGAGAATATCTGCAATAAGACAATTTTCTTCAACTATTCACATCAAACAAAAGGCCTACTCTAGCTCAGTAGCTCTAGTAGATGAAAAAGAATCACCTTTCTTAGGAAACTTCTTGGCCAGCCTTCTGTACAAACCACCAGCAGCTTCAAGGGCAACCCCAATTGTCTTTTCACGAAAACCATTCAATGAAGCAATCCTCATGTTTACATCACTAACCAAAGTTTCGTACATATTGGCAACGTACATTAAGGGCAAAGCAAACCTAGGATCACCTTCATAATGGATATCTCTTGTCTTCCTCTTATTCAGTTTATCTTGGCCTGTTTGCGCACTATAGTCAGCCTCATGATCAACCACTTCAATGATGTGATGATTAATAAAATAATCCACAATAATTTGTAGAAATCTAGCTCTTGCAGCTTCAATAGGAGAAATATCTGTCCAGAATTCAATTCTAATGAGCAAATCCCAGAAGAGAAACAGAGGTTCAGGAAATGTATAATCAATTGCCAAACAAGAGGTGCACTGACAATTAAGAGTTACCCTCAATCGTCAAAATATTGTAGGCTCTCCTCGAAGGCTCAATGTTGTCCAAGCTAGAGCGATCTTCTTCCACTCCAGAGTGGAGTGGTAAGGAATTCCTATAGGATTCATGCATACAATCCTAGAGGAACAAAAACAATATGGCATTAATGTACTTATTTACATAACGTTTAAGACTAGCCATCCCCATTTTCCCATGAGAATGCTTGTGAAAAGATTAATCATTCAAGCACAAATTTCCCAAACAGACTCATTCAGGGAAAACTTAAGGTTGCATGAAATCTAGAACTCGGTATGGACTTCATCCCATTTCTTCACTCCACAGCTATCCAAGAAAACGATCAAACAAGTTTGAGAATAAAACCCAGAAAACCCTGACTTCACAAGAAAAGAATTAAGAAAACAGAGAAGCAAAGGAGGAGAGGAAGGAGACTAACAACCGCAGTGGAGTCGTGGTCTTGGTCCAAACTATCGGTATCAACAGCTTCACGATCAACATCTCCAATGGCGTCCATCTCTGCGGAGCGGGATTCAACCGTATTGAGATCGTGCAAAGAGTTTCCGATGAAGGAATTAGCTGACCTCAAGTTGTAGTGCGGCACAGGAACCCTAGCCCCCATTCTCTCTCTCCTTTTTCTTCTTCTTCTTCTTCTTCTTCTTCTTCCTCTTCTGATTTTGGCTGTGAAGAGAGGTAGAGGGTTCAAGGGAAGGCATCTTTCTTAGTATGAAGTTTGTCGCGGAGAGGAATTTAACGGCTAAAACAACTGAGAAAGAGAGAGTCCAAGCCTGAGACCATACCTGAAATCCAAGCCTCGCTCCGATCGCCACACCAGCACCCAAGCCGGTAGGGTTTGAGTTCAACTCTTCAATAATAAGTGATTTGATTGCCGTACATATTTAATTTCAAAAATGTGAATTATACGTCATATTACACTTTAAAAATATATAATATATGAATTTATTAAAATATTTTTAATAAAATTTTTTATATGTAATTTTATCAAATATATTTTAATAATTTTAATATACAATTTAACTTGTAAATTATAAATTTCATTATTTAATTTTACCATTGTGAATTCCATTTATTTTTACCATTTTAACATATTATATTAGAAAAAAAGTATTTTGCAAATCATCTTTATAAACTTTTTTAGAAAATATATCTAAAAGCTCATTTTTTTATTAATAATTTTAAAAATCAATCGTTAAATTAAAAGTTAATTTCTTATAAATCATGTATATTAATTTTTAAATTATTTTAATAAACTTAACCATTTTATTAATTATAAAAAATAAAATATCATTAATTATA